AACCTTTGAGATTATATTAAAATTGGGATCTAAATAAAGGTGCCCATAATGGTATAAAACAGAAATTAGTCATATAACTTTTACAAACTATAGACATCAGAGTACTAGAACTCCACCATCACCTACCAAATCAAGTAAAAGCTTTTAGAATTAATAAAACAATTTGATAAATTTGTTGGTTACAAAATATATAAATATCAATAGTATCTTCTATTTTAGCAATAGCCAGTAAGACTCATCTCACAACAACAACCATAATCCTAAAACTAAGATTAGCTTCCTTTAGAGGCCTGTAAGGGAAAAAAAGAAAAACTGTAAAACTCTACTTTAAGAGATAGAACCCTTTAATAATCGGAAGAATATGCCAAGTTCTTAGAAAGTAAGGTTGAATATTTTGCAGATATCATCCAACCAAATTAATTTTAGGTTTAATATGAGCCTAATAAAAATTCCAATGAGACTGTTTTTGGAACTTGATAAAATAATTCTAAAGTTCATATGCCATGATAATGGACAAGATGTTCTAAAACATTTTAAAAAGATGAGTAACTAGGGGAAACTTGCTTATAGATATTAAAAGATATTGGACAGTCATATTGCCTTTTATGACTGTTCTGATTTTGATGTTTAATAATAATTCACATATTTTATAGTTATGTTTTGTTAATAAAAATCGTATCATCTATGAAAGTTTGTCTAAATTATTCAACTATATTAAAGCAAAATGACCAAGATGCAACATATAGAAATGAATATTTCAAGCATTATTTACTCACACAAATTATAAATACATGGAACTTAGGATAGTATATAGGGATGGGTCATGATTGTTATTGTTGCTGCCACAGTTCAGGCACTCATCGGCTCTCCCCTGACAATTACAACAGTTTTCTAACTGATCTTCTCAGTTCCTCCAGTATATCATCTATATAGCTAAGAAACTCATCTGCACAAAAATAAACTAAATGCTGCTAGGTCTCAAAGCCATCATTGGCGTCCTCCTAGCTATTCCGCTTACATATATCAAAATGGCTCATTCCACAGTTCTAATCTCATCTTCTACACTCCAGCTGCACAGAACATCTCATCCACATTTTCCTATTTATGTCATGATCATTAATATCACCATTATTTGCACATGATATTTTTCTGCCTAGAATGTTATTGCAATATCCTACTCATTCCATCCCAGTGCTTCCAGTCTTAATTTAAGCTCTTTTTTTTTTTTTTTTTTGATATTTCATGGAAGGCACATGAAATTTCAGTGTATGCTCAGTACATAGACTGGTGTCTTTTAGTAGAAGCTCAAAAAATATCTGTTACATGAATAAATTAAATAAACATCTACCGTTGATGTATCACATTGTTTTATGATTATTTGCTTATATATTTATCCTA